ACCTATCATTTGGTATATATTTTTTATAAATCTGACTTTTTACCTGCCTACAGGGGGGGATTCAAAATGACAACTTTTTCACAAAAAGTTGACTTTTTCAACTTAAATTTTGAAAGTGTTCCGGAAAGTCTGACACTTTTCTATATATATTAAATTAAAGCTAATGTAATCTACTTTATTATGTAAAAAAAAAATTTCGGACTTAATTTTGTCTTCACGCTGAAAATGGCTACCAAATGCTATTATTGTGTGAAAATTCTCAATTTTATTTCTCATTATACAGAAGGGTCAAAATCTTAGATATATCCATATAGAAAGTAGAACTTTTTAAACTCAATTTTAGAAAATTTTCCGGAAATATTGACAATTTTATTTAATCATAAATTATAGCTTATGTAATATACTTTGATATGAAAAAAAAAAAAAAAATTCGGACTTTATTTTGTTTTTATGGTAAAAACGGAAATTCAATTTTAATATCTAATTTAATAATAAAAATATGATTTTTGTAAAAAATTCATTTTTTATAATTTTAAGTTTATAATGCCATAAACTTTTTAATCAAATTTTTCAATACTCTCAATTGAGTAGATATTTTAACAGCATTTTGATTGATTTTTTTACTTAAAGTAAATCATGAAAATGAATAATGTTTTGAATATTTTATTTGTAGAATATTTTTAAATACCAAAAACTATTTAGAAATGAATATTATGATTTCTATTTAAGTGATCAATTACAATAAAAATGCAAAACATATATTGAGCTTTTCTGATAAATTTACAGAAAATAGTAATTATACAATTTACATGTCTGCATATTAATATTAACAATAATAAAAAAAAATTTTATTACCATAAAATTTTGTATTTTATAATGTAAATTTCAAACTTAAAGTTGAGCTAAAAGTTATGGTAACAAATTCAACTTTTTTTATTTTAAACATTCAAAAAATCAATTTTAAAATACCAATAAAGTAGGTTAAAAATGCATTGTGCACTGATTACTTTTAAAATATTAAAAGTTAAAAACTGTTGCAATTTGTTTGTGTTTTTAATTATTTTTTTATCAAAATAAATAATTTCAAAATAAATATTAATAATTTCTATGTAACTCTTGGTAGTTAAATAAATGTTACAATTGAAATATTTAGAACTATATTCCTTATAATTATTAACTAATTAGTAATAATATCAAAATTATTGATGATGGACAATATATAATTACTGATTTGAAATGAACACCATAAATTGAATAAAATATATATTTTTTACTTTGATGAACATTTTTTGCATATCATTTATTCATAATTAACAACAAATTATTATCTAAAAGTATCTGCGTCAAGCCCTTCAATTTTTTATATGCGTTTTCCATAAAGTTAATAACTACTTTATAATTAATTTTTCATAAATTCTCCGAAAAAATTGCAATACTAAGTTATTAAATATCAATTTCATATTACGTTTAATTGCTTTAATGGATATTTATTCATAAATTGTACTTATAAATCAACTACAAATTAGGAATAATGACAGAAGTAAGAGTAAATTTTGCTTTTAGAATAATTAACCATTTCTTAAAATGAAAGACTATCTACAGATCTGTTCGAGGCGTTTTTTATGATAGTGATTTTAATTACTGCCAGATATCATCAAAAGTCTGACACTTTTATATATATCATAAATTAAAGCTAATGTAATATACTTTAATATGGAAAAAAAAAATTCAGACTTTATTTTGTCTTCACGGCTACCAAATTCTATTTTTGTGTGAAAATTCTCGATTTTATGTTTTACATTTTTATCTTTATAATGCCATATTTTATTGAAAAGTGTATGGATCAACACAATTTTTTTATGAGAAATAATATTTATATCCTTTTTTCATTCGACATACTTTTTCTTAATCAGGATATTAATAAGGAATAACAGATCATGCAGCTTTTGGAATAATCCACCAATTTTTTAAAATTAAACACTATCTAAAGATTTGCATCGAAGCGTTTTTTTTATAGTGATTTTAATCACTGTCAGATATCATTATACTATGCCACGTCACCACTGTACCGCGACCCCCTTGTGCTGGGTTTTTTACATTTTTAACTTTATAATGATATAACTTATTGAAAAGTGTATGGATCAACATAATTTTTTTATGAGAAATAATATTTTTTAATTATCCTTTTTTCATTCGACATACTTTATCTGAATCAGGATATTAATAACAAACTAGCTGATCATGTTGCTTTTGGTATAATCCACCAATTTTTCATAATTAAACACTATCTAAAGATTTGAATCCAAGCGTTTTTTTTTATAGTGATTTTAATCACTGTCAGATATCATAATACTTGATCCAACTATGCCACGTCACCACTGTGCCGCGACCCCTCTGTGCTAGATTTTTTTTTTGTTTACGATGATCTAATTAACTTTTATCTATTTTATCTATATAGACTCCTATTTATATCAAATTTCAGTGAACTTGAAATTGATGTCGTTCATAAAGGGGAAAGATTTCATTAGAATATAAAACAAATGAAATAATGTTTCATCGGAAAGTTGTAGGAATATGAACAAAAAATAATTATCCTGTATAGAAATGTTTTCATAAAATTGTAATCATTATTATTATTCTTTGACTCTTGTTTTTTTTTATTAACAGCAATTATGTTAATTTTTAATTACACATTAAGACAAAAAACAACATTTTTAAAATCATCATACATTTTTTGTTTAATGGTTATAAATTAATGCAGAGTTATAATAAAAAGTTCAATTTATATTTTGATAAATGAGTGTTATTATTAAGTTTAAAGAACCTATCGCGGCGATCTCAAATTTCTTTTATAACATGATTAAATCAACAAATTTTATTTTTATTAATTATGATTATTTAAATGTGTATTTATCAACCAATTACTACTTAGTAATTATTTCTGTAACTTGATGTACTTAAGAAATATAAAAATAGATTTGGATCAGCAATATCTAAATATTGTAAACCGCAAAAAATGATTTATTCTGTGTTATCTGGAAGTAAATATACTTTATTTTTAATGTTACAGATTCCAGTTCAAGCACTATATCACCTGTAAATGTTTTTGGAAAATCATTGAATGAAATTGACATTACTAAGCAAGAACCAATCAATAGTTGTGAGCCAAATTCTTTTATTAGCGGTGAAGATGATGATAAACTATCTATACACTACGTAGAAGCTACAGCTGTGCGAACCTTGGCTGCCAATACAGGTTCAGTGGCTATATTGGGTACTACTGCTAAATGCAAACAGCCACTTGAAGTTGCTGATAATGACTTATCGTCACAAAAGCCTCACATAGAAGTATGTTATGTGGAAGCTACTGCTTGTAGAAAATTAGCAGCTGAAACTGGGTCCATAGCAATTTTAGGAACGACTGCAGATCCTAAACTTCCTCTTAATGTTTCAGTTAAAAAAGACGACGATATTGGTTCTATTCATTATGTCGAAGCTACAGCTGTACGACAATTAGCTGCTGAAACTGGAACAATTGCCATATTAGCATCTACGGCTACTACAAAATCACAGAGTTCAGAATTAAATATTTCTGAAGACAATGTTAGTGTCAGTGAAATTCCCGTTGGTGTTAGTGAAATTTTAAACTCACCAAAAACTGAATACGAGTTTAAAAATACAAATCAATCAGAAAATATAGATGCTGACTTAATACCAATACCAGTGTTAGCAATGGAAAATTGTTCAGTCAACGAAGAAAATGTTAATTTCATCACAAAGAAAGATAAGAATATAACTAAAATGAGCAATGAAATTAAAAAAAATCAACAAAATAACATATATCATAATTTAGACAAATTTAATCGATCATTAACTATGGACCATACATCAATTACAACTGAAAAATGTTTAAAGAAATGGTCAACAACTGATTTGGATGGCTTAGATAATTCTTTTAAAAAATTAAAAACTGAATTAAATGATGAAAATATCAAGGTTAGGTTAATTGAACAAATAAAAGTCGGGAATCTTAATACTAAGGCTTTGATGGAGTCCAATAATACTGTAAGCGAAAATAGCACAAAAAATTTAATTAAAATAACCAAAGATGAAGTTTTTGAAAAATTATCACCAACAGTTGACTTAGTCCAAGAAGAAACTTCAAAATATCAACAATTTTATTTACCAGAACAATCATTCCAAAATAAAAAATGTATGATATTAGAGTTAAAAAATTTAAATAATAAGGAATCATTAGTAAAGGAAATGAAATACAACAATATATCTAATGAATTATTAAAAAAACATAAATCAAACAATTTTATAGAAAATAATTTGGCATTGAAAAAATCATCAGATAGTAATGAGCAAAAAGAAAATAGTTTAGACAATACAATTTTAACAAATGAAGACATTTTAACTGATCAAACTATAGTAAATACTCTTTCCCATCAGAAATATAATAATAATCTTTCATTAACAAATGATAAAAATGAACAACTGGCAAATGATTTAAATTCTAATAACATAATTTCAAATTATCAATCGTTGAAAAATTTATTACCGCATGACCAAAATTTGGTAAAACAGAATTCCATTGGTATAGCTACCGTCAAACGAGATAATATCTTAGATTCAAAATTAAATACCATGATTTCAGAAAAAGAAGATATTAATGATTCAAAATCTATTAGATCAATTTCAAAAGATCAATATTCAACAGAATCGGAGTCGGAAGAAAAAACTCTAAAGTCTCAACTTTCAATAGATTCTTTACCAAAAGAATCAGTGTCACATAATTTAAAATCTAATACATCTTTTTCCAATGACAATTTAAAATTAAGAGCTTCAATATTAAATAACACTAATATAATATCCGACTCGATAACTTCGCTCAAACACAGTGCAAGTGAAGAAAGTGAGAACTTTATATCAAAAAAAAGTAAAAAATTACACAGGCAGTCAAACCAATTTTTGGAAAATAAGCAAAGTATAGAAGAAACGCCTTGTAATGAACAAAATGACATGTTAACATACAATGAATCGAGATCAAATAAGATTTTTAATTCGCCAATAAAAGACCAATGTATTACGACACATATTTTCGAAAAATTCAACCCATCTAAATCAAAAAGTAAGCAAATGTTTTGATTCTATAACGTTATAATATTTTAATATGATGTGTTTATTTATTGTTATTTTTTTTTTATTTCTGTTACCACTTTTCTTAGCTCTAAAAGTACCAATTTCTTTCATCGATACGCCAAAAAATCACAAATCATATTTAGTCGAAGACATTACCCTAAAAAATTTTCATCAATGTTAACTGCATTGCCGTATTAAAAAAGGGGACTAGGGTCCCCTAATTTTTTATTCGAAAATATTTATTTTAACTTTTTATTCTATAACTTTAAGAAACATAATTCTTAAAAGAAATTTAATTTTTTTAATTTTATATTTTTTTCAAAATCATTAAAAAAATTGTGTTACTACAACCCTCATCCCCTCCAAAAAATTTGTTATGAAATTGTCTTTGTCACTGTTTGTTTTCAATTTCATACTATTATTTTTATTTAAAAAATATACAATTAGGAAATTTTTTTATTTTAAAAGTCTTTAATGTAGACTTAAAATATCATATTGTTTAGATTGATATGCGACTAGGAAATTATATAATTACCATTAACAATAAATTAAAAGAAAAGCTCAAAATTTCGTTAAAATTACTATTTTTTTGTATTAATATTGAAATGAACAATTTAAATAAAGATCATAGCTATGATTTCAATGTAACTCTTGATTTTAAATAGATGCTCAAGAATTTATAACTTTAAATGTTTTTATCTAATAAGCTTTAATAAGTTCAGCTTATCATTTCTTTACTGGTGTGTCATCGGTATAGATATAGACCATTTCCGTGCGTAATACTTGCGTAGTGGTATTTTGTCTTACGAATTTTTTTTTAAACATAATATATATCATATCCAATCCAACCATGTATTATATAACTTAAGTTGAAGTTTTACTCTTTTACTATAAGACCTCTTATAACTTTTAGGGTTTATTACAATTCAGATGTGGGATATAAGCGTGGTAATGGGTGGAAGGTTAGTTAGAGTGTATTTAAGTACATTGAATTTATTAAATTTTATTGCGAGTGTTTTTATGATGCATGGTAACGCGTGAATTGTTTTGAGAAAATTTAATGTTCTAAAATCGAAAATTTTGTCAGTAAAGAGACTATACTTGTCTGAAATATATGCGTACATAATAACTCTCAACCTGGAATAATCCATTGTCAATGGTTGCCTTAGTGTTAAAACCAGTTTGCTGTCCATTGTATTGTGACAACAAGGAAGAAATCATATGAGTTTGTGGACCGACTTCAGTTTTTTTTTCCTGTGTAACATCCAATTGATAGTACTATGAGGATTGATCAGTGGATCAGTAAGATGGAGGGGTACGTAATGTTATACGAATTGGATGATGTTGCCATTCAACACTTTGCATTATTAAGGCTGACAGGTGTTGTAAAGTTTGGCGTGATAGTTTACCATGTGCCTCGCGTATGTGAATTAGTTGGACTAAACTTTTAATAGAAAATTTTATATCATCATCTGCGAAAGATGTATACAGTATAAACTATACATTCAACATTACAAGCGTAGGCTTGTAATTAACAAAATATAATTGAATATTTTTATGAAAGTTATTCAGATGTAATAAAGCCAAAATACATGACGATGAGGGTATGCAGTGGATAGTAGGTGCATTGCAAAACAATCATTATCGTGACTACCTAGGATCCCTGATTAATTATAATCATTCGTTTGAAATTTTACAAGATTTAAAGTCTGCATCACATATATCTGATGAAAAATCGAAGTCGCATTTGTTTAATGGATATGAGAATAAATCATTAGTATCGGCAAAGGTGGAAATGTTATGTTTTAGATATCGGGCTGTTGGTCATACTTCAAAAACTGACCTAAACTTAATTTAGATGTTCAACTCCTGGTCACAATGTACAAGATTATTGTGCGAAGATTAATACAAACACAACTTAAAGATACCAAGTATTTCACAATTTTTACAATTAACAACGATGCTCAAGTAATAGATAAAATTTTTGGATATGGATTTGGCAGAGTTCATTCTTTTTAGGTCGTTTTGAGAAAAGTATATCTATTGATGGAGTAATAGCAAGAGTACCTGTTAACGTAGCGCCTAACAAAATTCAATATCTTGAATACCATTGTAAGTAGGCTACCCATTTACTAAACAACCCCATATTATTATTATTAGCACTGTAGTAGAACTGACTGTAAAGCAAATTATACTCAATATAACTATTATTAACAAGAAAAAAGTGCTACTGAAGGCAACTATGGCTGTGGTAATAGCTAAAAATCATATTAGAAATATCAGTTAGCACAAATTTACCAAAAACTGAATTGTGTATAAAGGGAGGACTTTGTACATTAAAACAATTAGTCCCTCGATGTTTAGTTTCAACTGATGAATAAGGACTAACATTAGTGCTCGTGTTGAACTTATCTAATGAAAAATTTGTTTTTAAAAAGGTAACAGTTATCCGTGGCGTAACCTTCACTGAGATATGTAATAACAACGATATTCGTGTCCGTTAAGTAAATAAAAAACCCGTTACTGCAGGCGAAATTATTACGGACTTTATTTTATTTTGCTACCATTGGCAACTTATTGCTATATAGTTCTATATAGCCTGTTTGTTGTACCATAGTTTTATGATTGGAAATCATACTTGTGATGTGTTGCATTCATAGTCAGTCGCCCTGCAATTCGCATGCACCTCTATAAATATATCTGAGTGTAAATCCTTCTCATAGCTACCAGTTTCATTATAAATCGGTAGAACTACAAGCTGTCGATAATCCTTAAATATTTATCTGTTAAATATCTATATTTATTTATTTTGTTTTTAACATATTGCGTCCTGTGGGATTTATTAAGTGATCCCCATCCCCAATATAATACAGTCTCTTTTGTTTTTATTGTTAAATAAATTAAGAAATTATACCTTAATCTATAATGTTAGTAAATAATAACTGATAATTATATTAAACTATTTGACAGAGTAATGAATAACTTTTTTAACGATGTATTGTCAAATATTCGTATAACAACGTGCCTGACGCTACGATAGCATCCGTTGTAAGCTATTAATTAATCATTCATTTATAATATTTTTAAATTATATTGTCGAATTAGATTTGCTATTATATAATTTTACTTTGAAATGTATTAATTTTTTTACTCTATTTGTGTGTTCTACTACCAGTCTATAACATTACAAATTTTTTCGTAACATGTTGCTATATAAATCATAAATCTAAAAAAAAATGACTTTTAGTTTCACCTGAATTTAACAATGGATGAAATAAAAAATTTACTGTAAATAGTATTTATAAAACTTCCTGACTGCATATTAATCTTAAGATTAATATTTTTCTATTTAATGATGTCAATTTCAAACTTGCTAATTGAGCTTAAAAAGTTATGGTAATAAATTTTTTTTTTTTTTTT